ACACGGGCCATGGATCATGTGTTTCGTGAAAATATCAAATAATTTTTGATCTGTTGTTTGATCAGCTGTTTCTGCTGATATTATTTGATCAATATTTTGTGGTCGGATTTTATCTTCGAGTCAAATTAAAATGGACATGAGGCAATCCACGTTTTTGCCACTCAATCGAGTACAACTAACAACGTGTGATACCAAAAACAGAATATTTAACAATGAAGTCAATTAATGATTTCAGCTTCTGTCTAAGCACACGCGCAGTTATTTATTTTATTTTATTTATTTTATTTATCATATAGCCCACAGAGAAGCTCCAGGAGGACTTAAAAATACAATTTTAATATATGATACAACAGCAAATAACATAATTCATAACATTACAATACATAATACACAATAAAAAAACTATCAAATTCTTAACGGTAAAACTAAATTATATATAATGGAAATAACCAGCTTCTAATGATTGGAAATGCTTATCGTTAATTCCAACATGCAATAGGATATGCGACAGTAAATTTCTAAAAGTTCGAAGACTCGGCAATATAAATATTTGCCTCCAGAAATAGCAGGCCTTTGGCGACATTTTTATAAAATGTCAATGAGAGAATTTTATCTTCAAATGTGAACTTTCTTCCATTCGGTTTTTTGTATGTTCTCTCAATTTGCATTTTATGACTTGCCCTTAAAATTAACGTTGCTGGAATACAAGAGAATTTTTCAGCACATTTGATGCTCTGCTGAAATTTGTCCCGTAAATTTGTATTTTGTTTTTAATTCTTCGCATCTCGCACCTCCTGTATCAAAATTTTTGATGTGTTATAAATCTTATGGGCTCCAGGTGTCAAGGCATTGCTGCGTTTTTGTTTGACACTCTGCAATAGTTTACAGTTTTTAAAAATAAAGTAATTAATATTATTGTAATTTTCAAATGCATATACCATTGCGAGAAACTGGTGTAAATCTAATTGATAATTTTAGAAACATCCTTTGTCGCTTAGGGGTGCTCCAATTTATTTCGAATTAAATTTATTAAAATAAAAAAATTACTAAAAAAAAAATCTCACTGTGCATAATTACCTGTGACCGGAATCTCTCTTATATGACAACAGCTCCCTTATGTCTTCCTTCATTTCATTAATTTCATATGATAATTTGGATAGAGTGTTGATGCTACTATCTAACTTGTCCTCTGCGACATATATATTGAGACGAATGAATTTTTTTTATGGGAATTTAAAAGATTTTAATAAATAGTTTAAATATATAAATTTTAAATAATGTACCCGTCTCCATATTGGGACTCTCCTCTACTTTTCCATGTTAAATTTCACACACATATTAATATAATTATAGATATATATATATATATATATATATATATCACTTCTGCAATAAATATATTAACATGAATGTTTTGTGAATGCTATGATATAAACGATATTAAATAATATACCTTTCTCTATATTGGGGCTATCCTATTTGTTCGTTTTTCTCCTGTTCACCATCACACAGGATGTGAACTCTGCCCTCGCTTCATATACTTTTATTAGTTTATAATTTGAAGATGTAGCTACACATCTCTTCGTGACAATTTTGTATTTCACAGTATCAGGAAGGGGCTTTTACACCACTTAATCATTTTATGAACCTTCAATGGAGAATTATCTATTGGCCATAAATAGTTTGTTTTCTGGGCATTGAGAGCCCACGAACAAGGTATATGTCCACATTTATCCTCCTTATCGTAAATTATAACATCCTATGTAGGCTGCGTGTTTGGCGCGAACAATTTCATTATTTGTCCAAAATTCTACTGAAGATAAGTGAGACAATACTCTGATGACAAATTTTTTAATGGAAATCTTATCAAGGTAATACTTGCAATTAAAGTATTACCAGGTTGTAGTACTAGTGGTGCACCATGTAGAGAACTCAAAATCCAAAACATATCAATAGAATACTAGAATTGTAGAAGGCAACATCAAGTTATACATCTTGGATTTAAAGAATATTCAAATATTCTTATTTTCAAATTTCTTATTTCTATTTGGTAGAGTGTTGCATGCCAATCCACTTCATAAAAAGCATAACTCGTGGTTTAGTAAATCTAGAAAATTGTTAGAATGTGACATTTTTTAAATTATTTTTTAAATCGTCCGAATGATATTGAGCTGTTTAGTTAGTTTTTTGTTAAGCGAAAATAAATCTAAAAAAAACAAACGCGTTAGTACATCAGTATGTAATGTATTGTAAATTTGCCGATAGTTTTCTTGAATTGTGATTTTTTTCGAAATCAATGTTGTGATAATAATACTAAATAATGTGTGATTTAGTCTTTGAATATGTAAAATTAGTTAAAATATTTAGCAGTCACGAAGAAACTTTATTTGTTGAATGTTAACAAAACAAATTTTGAAATAAAATAAATAATTCAGAAAAGAAAATAAAATTTATAATAAAGAAAATAATAGAAAATGTTCAGATGATAGATTATGGTAATAGGAGTATTATAAATGGAATGAAAAATTATCACGTACATGAAACAAGAGATAATGAATGAATTGAAGTAAAAGCACTGTTATTGAGGTTCAACAACAACTAACGATTAAATAATAACGAAATTGCGAATTGAAACCAGAACAATTAAGTTATTTTGGAAGTGAAACAAAATAGTAAGCAATATGATTAATATTTACTATAATGACTCATTTATTTCAATATGACTGACGATATGAATATTTGAAGAGAGCATAGGTTTGCTTCTACGTAAAATAACATGAGCATATAACATGTCATGGAAGGAATTAACTTTGATTGAGACGATTGAGCATAACACGAGGATTTAGTTTATAATACACGGTATTTCATATACAATTTTAATTTCGATAGTGTCAGTAATTATGATTTATTTACATTACAATTTTCTTGGTCTATTTGTTGAAAAATCACACATGACAATGAAAAAGGAAATTTGATTTATAATGACCATTGTGATGGCAATGATTTGATGGCTTCATTGTGCCAAACTATTTGAAACATCCAAATAGAAGTTCGTTCCAATCCAGTCAAAGACATTCATGTCTTTATGATTGTGAACTACTCAAAGTAGTTTTCAACCAAATAGAAGAAACCGCCCTGGATTTACATTATTAACCAAATATCAAATTTGAAGCGGATGCAAAGTATGATACATCGTAATTCATACTTCAACATTTTTTTTATTTAATTTTGGATCTATTTGGCTACTAGATTATTTTTCTTCGAAGATCAATACCAAATGCTAAATAAAATGATATCTATAATTCAGTCGCAGAAGGAATTTTGACACATTTAATAATTTTGAGATATTTAGAAAAGGTGCCATCACAATAAATAGTACTAGCTTGAAGATTCTTCATCGCCATGCATAATTAATCAGGAACATAGTTTTAATTTGTACGGATTTCTTAATCATGGATCAAATGGTATAACTATCCTTAGTTTAGTCGAAGAAGGAAGTGACATCACAATAAATAATATTCGCTCAAAGGTTCAAATCAAGAGGATTGTTTTAATTTGTACGCAAATCGTAACCATGTATAAAATGCTATAATCTATTGGCAAACGAAGATATTTCAATACTTATATAAATTATTCAAGGTCGTGAAGATTGATTTGTCCAATTCAATTGCGATTGTAAAATCTTGGGACCTTCGACTGACTTAACTGATCTCTGGTAAAAGTTCTTCCAATCTTTACCAAATCACTTATGTATATGTATCTACTAAGTTTGTTAAATTGATATAAAAAGGAAATTGAAACATGTTATGCAGCCTGGATATTATATAAAGAAAAAGTAATGTAGAGTAAAATCGATTCGCACTCGAAATCGATATTAAAAATTGTGTATTGATATTTGCAAATATTAAGAAATTCTTGAAGAGAATAATCAGTTTTTAATGCAATAGGCTATATTTAACCAATTTTAAATATTCAACGATCAACACATGTAACTTATAGGATAAACTTGTAAGATATAATAAAATTTTCTTTGTTTTTCACTAAACTTACAATTGGAAAACTACAAACGCTTGAATACATTTCTACAATACATTCAATGTGATAACTTTAAAATGAATGTAAAATTATATGAATCATTAATAATATAATTATAGTTACTAATAGCACATACTATTGCTATAATAAAAGTAAAACATGTTTCTTATAATTTTACTTTCATTTTTATTTTGCCACTATATTAAAGCTATACATAAGATTTATTTTTGAACATACAAGAGACTGCGCATTTTGTAATCGATTTTATTTCTGTACTAGAAACGAAAATACTCCATTTATATTTTTTAGTTCCATATACGTTTCAATGTTTGTAATGCTCAAATTTTCGATCCATATTTTATCTAAGTATGCTTTTTCATGTCGTTGCTTGTACCATGTAAACTCAAGTTGAATATTTTACTTTTTATATATACGATTTTTAAATTTCGGAAAAAAGAATGTCTTCCACATGTGCACCACATTTTTTTTAATTTCATGTGAATTCTTGGATAAAAAATTTTCTTTCATTTCACTATTGAATTCTTGGATAAAAAATTGAATTCTTAAATAAAAAATTCTTGGAGAATGCATGCTTGTATATAATACTCATGGACCAGTGCAGCTGTTTTCCATTTGAAAGATATTTGGGACAGTTACTAAAATTGATACGAGGACCAGCAAAGCCTTTGCAACAAGTATCATGCAGACTACTCGAACAATTTCATGATAAATCAAATGTAGATCCAAATGATATTGAAATACATAAAAAAATTCCAAGATTGATTTTGTTAAAATAAATGGATATAAAATATATTAGTCAAATAATAAGGATTGCCATATATTGCTCTCTAATAAAAAGATAATGTGTGTGGATGAAATAATTGAACAGGAATCACATTTACTTTTTCGAGTGTTTCTCTTACCCTTTCAACCCGCACTTGAAAACAAAGTTGTAAGGTTTTTGCTCATACATTTCTTTTATCATTGATGTAATCAATTGCTTCTTGTTTGTTCCGCCGGTCCATATTTTTCAGCTTTTCTTCTAAACAGTCTAATTCTTCATTCGTCTTAATAGGTAACAAAAGATAGTTTTTTTCACGGATTGAATCTGTGAAGCTGATGCCTTGTTTCTCTTGACGAAAGTCATCAGCTCATTCAAAATCACTTTGAAAGAGCTCTGGCCACTTCTTCATTTTGCTTTGTTTGTATCTCCATTGAATATATATTAACATAGATTATATTGTTTAATTCGGTGTAATAAAAATATTAAACAACATACCTTTCTGCGCTGGTTTTTCCTTTTCTGGGATAGAGCTCAGAGTGTTATCGTCTGAGCTCTCAATACACGATTGATTTTGAGTTCTTTTTAAATACTTCTTCACGTTTTTATAATCGGTGGTGCTTCTCATAAACTTAGCCTCCAATTCAGAGTAATCTCTAAACGAAGGAGGCTCGCACGCCTTCAGCATCTTATTTAGTTTATAGCCTGCTACATTTTCTGATCATAATTACATAGTCTTCTCCTCATTTACAGCCCATGATGAGGGCACGTGTCCGCATGAACCCTCTTTTTAAAAATCACTATATCCCATGAACACTATCAAATATAATGGTACCAATTTTGAAATTTATTTAAAAAAAAAACTATAACTGATTATTTCAAATATTTAAATTAAAATAAAATTAAATTAAAATAAAATTATTTAAATTAAATAATTGAAATTATTTAAATTAAATAATTGAAATTCATTTTTGAGAGAACTTACCTCCATATTCACTTATTTAAAATTTAACTACGTAAACTTCTAACTACTTAAACTTACTACAAATACCTGCAACTGTTGCGACGATCAAAACTGGAAAGAAATACGAAATGCATTTGCGATCCTTGCAACTACAGGAAATTAAATTTTGGCGCGATTATTTATTAGTGTGGGCGCTGATTTACATTTTAAATCTTCAACACAAGATGCGTAAAAAATGTTCCGCAATATGCATTTATTAGAATATATAGAATGAAATATACATAAATAATAATATCAATAACAACTATGATATAAATAATATTGATAATAACATAAATAGGAGTGTTTTTAGTTTACATATGCATTCGAAAGTAGTAAAGTAAGGCATACTAGTGCACTCGAATATATGTTTCTATATTACTCTTGAATGTTTCAGCGACGTACAATTTATCATTGAAACACTGAGATAATATTTTACAGACATATTGTTTTCGAAATTAATATTGGTGTTTCGAAAAGCCATTTCTATATTGTTATCATGTCAGCCTTCGTATATAGGCGCTTCGACGGAACTGATGTTACCGGTATACATATATTTTTTTCGGTTTCTCTGGTGAAACGCATTCTTATCAACATTTAAAATACTGCTCTGTCCAGCCGCCTGCAGCATTTGCGTTTTAAAAACATGCACTTTAATTTATTGTGACAACTTTCTATAAACATAGTTCAAAAATCACCCTCACATAGTATTGCACGAATTATTAATTTGGTGGAACTGTTATAAATATTATTTACTGTATGAAAATTAAAAAACACCACTTTTTTGCTAACTATTTTATATATTAAAAAAAATGTTATTAGTACCATTAACTTATTTTTAGAAAAGGTTCAGGTGTTTTTACATATTGTCTTTCTCTTTTTTAGATGACTTTTATCCATTTTTAATTTGGGATGTGTGTTATTTTCGATATGTAGTTCACATAGAACACAAAAATATTTAAAGTTTGGATCTCCTAAATATGCTGGTGATAAGGAACGTAAAGCTAAACTGGGATCACACTCAAAGTGAAGCCATCTTAAACACATTCCACATTGTTGCCAAGAACTGCTGGATGGTATTAAGTCCCCATTGCAATTGCTTTTGCAATTAATAAACGCGTCTTGGGAATTTCTTAGACATAGTGAATAACTGTAATAATAAATAAACAACTTTATTTGTAATACAAACAAACTTGTTAATTCTGATAATTCAAAATTTTGTGAAAAGATATCTTTATCAGAATTCTGATACAAATAAGCACATATATCTAAATTATTATATTTACTTACAGAAACTCCGGCTTCTCTACAAAATTCTAATTAGTAAATAGGTTACGGAAACTCGTGGCGCTCGAACTCTCAAAAACAAAATAAAGGATCTTTGTTTAGTTTTGTTAGTATCATCTTCTAGAAGTGTTGCCAACTCAATCATGCCTGTGCCTATGCCATAGATTCTAGTGGACTGTAGACGGTAACAAAAGCGTAACAGTCACAAAAAAACACAACTTTCACTATGTTGATCGTCTTGGTATTCTTTGAGAGCACTCCTAATCACTTTCTCAACTTTTCAATGCAATATTTAATGAATATTTACACTATATCAATGGAAAATTTAAATGTTTCAACATAACCTCAAAAATGATTGTGAACAATTGTAAAAATAAATTTAGTAAAAACTCGGTCACAAAAATGTCCAAAGATTGTAAGATTTTGGATACATACTCTTGATATATAAAAAATAAATTCTTGAAATTTAAAAGAAGAGGACATAACTATAAGTTAACAAACATAATGCAAAAGATGAAATAGAATCAACATAAGTCAAATATAGATATCATATAGAAATGATTTAATATCCATCATGATATGATTAGAACTAAACAATAAACTATGTATATTAGAGATAAAAAAAATCAAATCAAATTGAAATATTTGATCCAAATGAAACCAAAGTTTAAATTACTTGTTATAAATTGTTAATTTAAAAACAAAGCATTTAAGTTAATCGAGGTTTAAATCTTGAAACCTTCTTGAACTTAGTGGAAGTAGGAATTAAATTTATAATACTGTATAAAATCATTGAATATGGGATCATTGATATGAAGATAGGATATGATTGATATAGCATAAAATTTAAAATACTCTAAAATAAAAATGTAATAGTGTAAAAATAGAAATATTTTTTATTTAAATTATTAATTTAAATTTATAAATTATTAAGTTATTATTAAGTTTTAAACGTACGATGTTGAAAAAAATTACTGAGCATTTTATACAATTTATCTGAATCATTTTAACAGTCGGTTTAGGAATACTGCGGACGTTATCGCAGACGGCACTCTTCTCGTCGCGGACGGCACTATAACCGCCATGGTGGGCAGTATCATCACTGCCACGGCTGGCAGCATTATAACCGCCGCGGTCGCCTCGCCCGTCGCGATTATTATTTTGGACACCGCGGTTGTTTTTTTGACCACCCTGGTTTTTATCTCGTCCGCCGCGATTGTATCCTTGGCCGCCGCGACTATCGCCGCCCTTATTATTTTCTCCTTTCTGCTGTGGGCCAGGCCCACTTTTGCACCAACTTGCTTGGTCGTCTGTGGACTAAAATAATAATTAATAATATAATAAATAAATAAATAAATAAATAATAATAGCTGAATGCTAAATATATTTATCAATGTATTTATATATTATTATATGAATCTAACCTTACCTTTTTATGCGTGTAGATTATAGTTTTCTTCTCTTTGAAGAATTTTTCGAAGTATATTTCTACGTTTTCGCCGCCATCATAAAATACTGGTAGGAGAGATAATGTACTTTCCTCCTTTTCGTACATTAATTCAATTGCCTTGAAACACAAGCCAATGGAAATCATGTCGAAATCTCTTATAAAAAAAGATAATGAAATCAAGTATGTTACATTTTCATGATATATTATTCAAGTTTGAGGAAGGGTAAATAAAACCTTTGTAAATATTTAGGGGCTGTTATCGTTGTGTGATTTTGTAATTAAATACCACTTTGTAATAATTAAACAAACATGTGTTTAATCATTACAAAGTGGTCGGTAATATGAGTGTAATAAAAAAATAATAATACTGTTCCGATCAACACAAGGACAAATAATTAATTGAACGCAGAGAATGTTCAGAGAAAAAAAATCCGTATCTCAATCCTGAATATTTACGTAAAATAATTTGTGATCATATATATATATATATATATATACATATACATATATATTAGGGTGGTCCTTGATATGGTCATTTTCGAATTTATTTGCTCCCAAGAGCTCAAATTCTTCCAAATTGATAAAAAAAAATCACTAAAAATTTATATACATATATATATATATATATACATACATATACATATACAGAAATATATACCTTTGTCCCCTTTTGATCATCTAAAAATTTAAGATGATCGAAGTACCAGAGTTTTGGCTGTAGACGTTTTGTGCGCTACAGCCCGAGCGCATAGAAGCTTTTATCTAGAATAACATACTGTTAGATTAACACAGTCCAAATCATCTAAACTAATAATTAATTTTGATAATATTTTCCTTATATTGTGAAGTTTTTAGTATTATTAAATACCTTGTTAACTTCCTTGTTAAAAACGCTCCTAATGCTTTTAATTTTTTTAGCCACTGTGGCTATGGTTGCATCTGGATTAATTTCTTTAAATGCCGGCAGCATTGAATTTAACGCATTATTGCGCATTTGTTTATTATGATATGCCTCGTCACTTATTGACCACAAACAAGTATGGGCTTTGTACATTTCTATAAATTTCACTATGAAATTTTCTGAATCCATATCTATAAATCCATCAAAATTATTATCAATAATTGTTCAGAATGTGCTAATTATAACTGAATATATAACTAAAAACTAATACGTACCTATATTTTCCTATTCAGATTTCCAACTAATAGAACTTTCTCACAGGATTATAATAGTCAAACTAAAATAATTACGGCCGCCGCGTTTGTTTACGCGGCCGTTGTTGCCTGTAACGCCGCCATTGTTGCCCGTACCGCGGCCGTTGTTGCCCGTACCGCCGCGGTTGTTGCCCGTGCCGCCGGGGTTGTTGCCCGTACCGTCGCGGTTGTTGCCCGTGCCGCCGCCGTTGTTGCTATTACCGCCGCGGTTTTTGCCTGGGCCGCCGCGGTTTTTGCCTGGGCCGCCGCGGTTTTTGCCTGCACCGCCGCGGATGTTGCCTGCACCGCCGCGGTTGTTGCCTGCACCGCCGCGGCTGTTTCCTATGCCGCCGCTCCAAGTCGCATCGCCTGCGGACTAAAATAATATTTAATAATATTATAATAGCTGATTGCTATGTATTTATGTATTATTATAAAAATTTAACATTACCTTTTTATAACTATATATTCTTATTTTCTTATCTTTGAAAAAATGGAGGAAATATTCCTCCACGTTTTCCCTGCCTTCATAAATAACGGGCAGGAACACACGCTCCTCCTTTTGATACATCAATTTTATTGTGTCGAAGCATAATCCAACCGCCTTCATTTTGTAACCTATTATATAAAAAATTATTTATATATATATATATATATATATATATAAATAAATATATACCTTGGTTATGCTCCGACACCCCACACAACAATACTGTGTGTCCAAGAAAGGAAGTCACCGATGTCACATCTCCTAATTTTATTGGTCTTGATTTTGCATTCGAGCTATAATAATGAAAATGTTCTAATTATACACATGTCCTGAAGAATAAAAAGTGGATTTAATTTTCTTACACAATATGACTCTGTATGGCAATCTGTTAATATCAGCAGCACCTCTTCTTTGGGTATTTCACTCACCAGAGTGAAATTCCTCAAAGCTGCCCCCATTTTATTTAAGAATGCTAGAAAAATAAAAACTATGATAATAGAAACGAAGAAATAGTTTTCAAATAAAATTATATATGTAATTTTAATAATACGCTATACATATCAATAAAAATCATGAATTTTTGTAAAAAAATATTATAATTTCTTAAAAAATATTAAAAAATACAAAAGTTAGAAAAAGCTAAACGTACTTACAATTTTTTTATTCCAGTGTAAAAAAGAGACTTTTAAAAAAATTCATGTTTTTTTGTTGTTATGCCCGATTATTGAACACTATATATAACTATTATTCAACCCTTATATAATATATATAATATAATGAAATCGAATAAATATAAATTACCAATATCTTCCATAACTGATGCCATTTTATCACTCTGCTACAACAGCACTGTTCTAATTCTACTATTCATTTAGCGCGCCTGATTGCAAATGCACTCAAAGGGACGTTTACCCGATTTATATACGCGAAGGTGGTGCGTCCACACCTAACGAACGGACACGAACGAATATGATGAATAATATGCGCAGATTAAAAATTATAATATAAAACTGATCCGTAATATAAAACTAATCAGTATCATTTCCAACTATTATCTTTTCAATGTGCATTCATTAATTATTGTAATTTCATTTTATTTCAATACATTAAATATTGTAATTGCTAGGCTATGAATTTAATACAGCAATAATCTTTTATTGGGGATATTTTTAGCTACATCATTTTTCTCAATACAGGTTTCAGGATCACAAGATCCTGATTCCCAAACTAAGTTGTATAAAATTTATGTAGTTTGGCTTTCCAGTTCGTGTAGTCTTTAAGCGCTCTGGGTATTCTCGAAAATTCTGCTGGAATGTGAGCTTTAAATTTTATTAAATATTCGCTCACTGTATCCCTGGTTTTGTCATCTAATTTGACGTTTCTCGTTCCTTTTACCCAGAGCCTTAAAAGTCTCTTGGTGACACCTAGGCAGACAATATGCATGTAGTCGAGTGCTATTTGAGATACCATTCCGATATTTAATTCCTCCAAAACGGAGTCACCTGTGTGATGTACTGGGTTCGTCCTCATGCGAAAAGATTTATCTGTTCGAAGATCTGAAAATGTGTTATTTAAAATGACATGGGTTGAAAACTCTTCTCTTTGAATACATTTGGAGCAGTTTTCATAACCCGCATGCCCAGTTGTCTTTGTAATCAACGCACGCGCAGGACTAACACATATTATTACAATTTCTATTGAGACAAATTAAACCATGTTGTTGTAGCACTTTCATTTCTTCCACGAAAGGCTTACAATACCCAGCAGTTGTGTCATACACTGCATCGTAATGTTGTTTCTCTGAAACAGATTTCCTAGCTCGCACTTCAAAGGTAATTCTGGAATATCATCCGCTTCGTCTTCAATATTAAAATAGTCAGAAACATGTGGAACCGGAATACAAAGCACTTCATATTTGTCAATACTAGCAGAAGCGCTTTTATTTTGGGAATCTTGACATGCAATGTCATGATAATTGCAATTATCCATGGATTTGCACCTCTTCAACACTTTCACTAATGTAAAAGCTGCTAGCACAGTTGACGGTGCTACTGTTAGTGCTCGAATCATCATTGTCAGCTGAACGCCTTACCTAAGATTTGTGATTGTTTTTGCATTATTAATCATTACAACGTGAAGTTAATTTGAAAGGATTTGGGTGCGTAGGTTTGTGCAACTGATTTGTGTTTAGGCAACATTGTTCTATTCTGTGCCTGTTCATTACTTGTTGTAATGCCATCAGCGTGGAATCAATTTAAAATAGCAACACAAATTAAACACAGAATAAAATGTTATACATTTATTGACTTCTAAAAATTATATACGAGGTTAGAAAAATATAGGTCCTTGTTCTATAACGGCCGTGAATGGAGAGAGCGAACACTCCTAGCTCGCTTGAGATTCTTACTTTCCTGTATTGCCAGATAGGGTACATAACCAACTTAATCTTGGTTAGCCTGACCTGATAGTTCCGTTAATAATGCGTTAATACTTGCTAGTTTCGTTAATATGACAGAAGCATTGATGTCCTAATAATTGCCAGATGGCATAACACCATCCCCCTTAGATAGATTATGGTGCCAAACTATATTCTTAAAAAATTAGATTACATTGGAAATTCAAATTTACAATAGTATCAAAACATTCAGAAAATTCTTTAACAAGTATTCGAATCCAATTGAAGGAAACTAAGGACTAAGATAAAACATAACATTCTTAAAACATTTAAACATAAAATTAGAAAGTTTGATTGGAAATGGTCCTAATTCTAAGTAAGTAATATAAACATATAAATGAAATTGGGAACTAACAAGCATCTTAAATATAGCATAGTAAAAGATAAAACTTAGTGCATTGCTTAATAAACAATGTTACAATAGTTTATTATATTTCAAAGGGTTTAATTCTATTAACGTGGACTTTAACTGATTTCGGATCACACAACAAAGTATAGTTTACTGGAGAATCCTTCGATAATATTTCAAATGGTCCAAGCCATGGCATTATCAATTTACGCATTTTTTCCCTTTTAAAGTTGTTTCATTTTTTAGGAGTACCAAATCTCCAACCTTGAACTCAATTTCTTTTGACTTTTTATCATAATAAATTTTGGAAGATGTCTTAGATGAGATTAAATTTTGTCTTGCAATATCTATGGCTGATTTTATTCTAAACTTAATTTCTTGTGCATAATCATCGAAAGTATAGGGATGAGATTGGGGTTTTGGAAGTGAGGAAGGTAGCTCAGGATTGTAGCCAAAAACTAGTCTAAAAGGACTGAAACCTGTTGATGTGTGTGGTGTTGTGTTATAAGTAAACAAGGCATAAGGCAGCCAATTGTCCCAATCTGACTGATCAATTTGAATAAAACTTCTTAGGTATTCTATTGATGTTCTGTGGGACCGTTCTAAAGCACCGTTCGATTCTGGGTGGTAGGATGTCGTTTGGAGTTTTTCAATTTTTAAAATTTTACAAATAGCTTTAAAAAGTGTACTTAAAAATTGGTGTCCTGGTCAGTCAGGATTTTGAAAGGAATGCCATAATGACAAATTATTTCTTCTACGAATGCTCTAGCTAGGGTTGCGGATTCTTGGTTTCTTAAAGGTATTACCCTACTGAATTTAGTTAATAAGTCTTGGAAAGTGAGTATGTATTTATTTTCATTCGCAGTAATAGTTAGAGGTCCAACTATGTCTAATGCACATTTTTCAAATGGCTTTACAGGTGTATCTGTAATAACCATAGGGTATTTACATAGCCTTTTCTAATGCTCATTTTTCAAATGGCTTTACAGGTGTATCTGTAATAACCATAGGGTATTTACATAGCCCTTTTTACATAGCTTGTTCCTTTGACAAACATCACAAGTTTTAACAAAATTTCTTAAATTTTTCTTTAATTTAGGCCACTGGTATTTGATAGATATACGTTTTAGGGTACGCTTATAACCCTGATGGCCTCCTATTGGTGTATTATGATATTCGTTTAAAATTCTTAATTTATCCTCTCGAGTAAGAAGATCTAATGGACGTTTGTAAATTAAAATTTTAATATTATAATTTTTAAATACATATTTAAACTTACTACGAATTTCACATTCATCAAGTTTGTCATCTGTCGCTAAAGTAGGTAATGATATTTCTTCTATATTATGTTCTACGCATAATTCCCTAAGCTTAATTAATGTCCTAAATATAATTTCTAAATTACTTATGTCTGGTTGCCTGAATTTAGTCACTAAATAAAATACAAAATCGCTATTATTATAATTAACATGTGTACATCTCTTACTTGTTTTCCCTGAGCTATTAATTCGTTAATTCTATTAAAATGGCTCTTAAAGTTATTAAAAAATACGCTATCGCTATTAAAATTTTGAGGACTATCTATGCAAACGGATTTTTTATCTACAAACGAAAAATTTCATTAAATTCTTTAACATTATCATTAATTACTATACTATTACTTAAACTGTCTTTAAAATTTTGGTAGGTATCGTCGCCCGTTATGTGATAAAACCTACTTAAGGCATCAGCATTCGTATTAGCTGATCCTTTTTTATACACTATTTCGTAATCATGTTCTTCTAACTTAATTCGCCATCTCATTAGTCTAGAACCTGAGTCTTTTAAATTCATTAGCCAAACTAACGGTTTGTGATCTGTAATTATATAAAATCGAACTCCATAAATATATGTTCTAAAATGCCTTACGGCCCACACGATTGCTAATAGTTCCTTTTCAATAGTCGAATAATTCTCTTCTGCCTTATTTAAAGTTCGACCATTGCGAATGTCCTTGGGACAAAATCGCCCCGAATGCTTTTCCGGAAGCATCTGTAGTAATATTGAAAGAAGCTTGAAAATTCGGATACTGTAATATAGGAGCAGTAGTCAAAAGATTTTTGAGAGTTATAAATGCATCCTGTTGAGCCGAAGACTAAATAAAATTAACATGTTTTTTTTAAGTTTAGAATGAATCTACGATAGTATCCAGCTAAACCTAAGAATGACTTAATATCCTTTGAATTTCTTGGGATTGGGAAATTAATTACTGAATCTATTTTGATAGGATCGGGTTTGATACCAGTAGGTGTAATTATGTGACCTAAATAGTATACCTCCTTATAGAAAAAATTACATTTTTGCGGTTGTAAGCGCAAATTACTAGCTCGTAGCCTTTCTAAAACTTCGCATATCTGTTTGTAATGTTCCTCTAACGTATTGGAATAAATGACGATATCGTCCAAATTAACGAAACACTTTGCAAACCAGACAAAACGGAATTCATAAGGCGTTGGAATGTCGCAGGGGCATTCTTTAGACCATATGGCATACGTTTGTATTGAAAGAAGACTGAGTTGAAAGAGCTGTCTTCTGTTTGTCACTCTCATTCATTGGAATCTGGTGAAAACCAGAAGCCAAATCAAGAGTAGAAAAATACTTCGAATTCCCTAATTGATCGAAAATATCAGAGATATTCGGCAAGGGAAAGGAATCTCCAACAGTAACTTCATTCAACTTTCTGAAATCAACTACAAGTCGCCACTTCAATGTGCCAGAGTCAGATTTTTTGGGCACCGAGAGTAAAAGCGCATTCCACGGACTATTACTTGGCTCAATAATATCGTTATTTAACAAATCTGAAACTTGATTACTTATTTCTTTCTTATGACAATCTGGTAAACGGTAAGGTTTTATATTTATAGGTGGGACATGTAGAGGAGTATTAATATTATATTCTACTGACGAAGTAAAAGGGAGCGTATCACCATCTACATAAGAAATATCATTATAACTTGAACAGATTCTATGTAAGTAATCACTT